CGTTTATACTCCTCTAAAATATTTAATAATCATTAAAATGCATGCAGAGAGTGAGGCCACTGGACTGATTGCCTCTTTGCACGTTTACTCTGTCGGAAACATTCCTAACAACATTGCTGATGGCCATTTCCCCATTACTGCCCTGTTCAATCTCCACACCTCTAGCAATTGTTTAAGCCACCCTGCTGCCGAGAGCACTGTAAGAGTTGATCGATGGGACAATGTAGGATCTGGCCTCTAACAAGCATCGGGCTTGCCTCCCCTTCTATACAGTATCTTCAAGTGCTGCCCACTAGTTCAGGGACTCATAAACAAATGGAATGATTACTGCAAGTGGGAGTTGTCAAGCTATCGGTTTACTAAATTTAAAAGACAGGCGACAGGGTGGCATGGTGGCTTGGTTGCTTAATTGCCACTGGAAGCAGAGAGCCCAGTGGGAAATTGCCTGCCTAGCAACTCCAGAAAAATGTATTACAAAAGATCTGGTTTTGCAACAACCACCCTTGTACCACAGAATGGAGGCCATGGCAGGGTGCGAAATTAAGCTGGGAGTTTCACGAATGCTGTGTGCAGAGGGGTTCTATGATGTACTAGCAAAACTCAACCTGGTATAAAGAGCCAGCCAGACAGTTCAGACCAGCTGTAGGCACTGCTGCCACCAGAGCGCTGACTCAAAGGGTTTCACTTGCCACCCTTGAGCAACTGTTTGAAGTAGGCACCTTGATTTGCAGAATGGGAAGGAAAACCTTTGTTCCTGCTCTCACCTTGAAGCCAAGATATCCAGAGTTATAAATAATTTATTAACTGGCAAGGCATTCTGGAAAGATTTGATCTGGGACTCACGTGATTTCTCTCTGCCTTTCTCTCTTCCTCTGCCTTTCTCACATGCATTACTGGATTCTTCTTTTTCTCACTCGCTGAGGGATGCCAGGAGTATGCAAGAAGAGATAAATGAACAAAGATAGTTCTGTATTTGGGCTGGTGGAATATATGGATGAAGGAATAGACACCCATTGGCTGACATTCCAGTTCTGTGATAAAAACCTATATTCACATCTGGGTCCCAGTCAAACAAGATGTCTCCCTCACCTGCCTTCCAAGGCTTGGCTCACTTGGCAGTGCTCCATCTGACGGCAAAGCTTCCAGGAAATTAGATGGAACAAGACCCTTCTGTCCATTTACCTCCCCCTGCAGATAAAGAAGGGAAATGTTTCTACAGTTCATAAGGTTGGAGATCTCCTGATGTTTCAAAACCATACAGAGAGAGGAACTGTCCTACTTTTTTCCTACCATCCAAGCTCTTGTGCATGTTATATTTCCTATCAATTATGGAGTGATGATATATATCATCTGTTGGATTTCTGCCCATTATGTATTTGTAGAAGGAACAGGAGTCTTTTCAGAACAAAGGCAGATATCCCATTTCCAAACTGGAACCTACAGATCCCTGTTTTTCTGACATCAGTGATACTTTCTGGAAGGCAGTAACTACTGTAGAATTCAATCCCATGACCTCCTAAAAGAGAAACTATCACAGACCCAGTTCCATCCATAGCAACGCAGCCCTCTGATTTACTGGCTATGTCACTGTTTAAACTGTTTTAATTAAAAGGAAGGCATGATGCTTACATAATAGAACCCATCATCATCCATGGAACTGAGCACAGTCACAATGTCCCCAGCACAAAATCTGAGCTCAGCCTAGAGGAAAACATCAAGAACAATAGTAGAAAATCACTGAAAAGATTATGTTTTATGGATTTGTTGATAGATAAGAGATGGGATATGGGATGAAGAGATCAATGTTTTTAACTTTAGAGAGGGTGAAGAGTTACTAAATTAGTTTATACTTGTTGGGATGAAGATTGGAAGTCATTTCTTCATATATTTCTTTTTTCTTCCTTTATTATGTTCTTCCTTTTCTCTTTTTCTTTTTTCTTTCTTTTTCCTTGCACTTTTTACTCCTCTCTATTCTCTTTTCTTTCTTTAAGTTTAGTTTGTATTAGATTTTACTATTATAATAAAATTCTTAAATAAATATATAAGAAAATCAGTACAGAACCAAGTGAGAAGGAAAGGAATTATTTTCATTTTCAGTTTATACACTGAAACTAGCAATTTTGGAGGGGCAGAAATTCCTCCAAAGACCTACTTAACCAGGCAAATATTAATCTCTCTCTCTCTCTCTCTCTCTCTCTCTCTCATTTGTCATCCACTATGACTGTACAGAGCTTGTCCTGGAATGCACTTATTTTTACACATACTCCTAGAAGGAGCTCAAAGGAACAAGGCAATCTCCAGGATTTATTGGGCCCATGGCAATCCCTTAAATGATACATAAAGCTAAGTAGTTCATAGTCCGACATATGAATAATGCCGCAAAGGTTAAGCAAAGAGCAGGCTCCGCTCACCTCGGTGTCTGGATTGGGAGAATTCTCTTGGGGGTTGTAGTCAAAGATGGCTACCATTGTTCTTCCAGGGTCCTCAGAACTTGGATTTTGCTTTCCAGGTGCTTCTAAACCAGAAAGGAAATGTACAGCTAGTAGATCAGAATGGGAAGTTGCATTAGATAAAACCTTATTTGTTCCTTTAAAGCAGAGTCTGTCTTAATGGTTTATATCACAAAGGTCTTATCTGTTCATTGGGACCTAATCATGAACGTATGATCATCCACACCCACGAGCTGTTGCAACCTTCTATCACCACCACCAACAACCACAAAAAAACCCCCTCTCTGCCAGACATAAATTATGCACACAGACCAAACTTAAATGAAATATTTTGTTTTACATCATTTATGTTGCAAGTTTCAAAATGCATCACATAATTTATTTTGGATTTGCTAGATATAAGAAGGGTCATGATGGTCTACAGAGCCTTGTCTTTGCCTGCTGGAAATCCAGTATCCCTCCTCTGGCTCCCCTGAGACAGTATGGATTCTATGCCTTCAAATTCTAATAAGGGCCATTTCCTATTCAGGTAGGAAAGAAAAACTAAATGCACAGACGTGGGATTAGGGTTAGGGCTTGGTAATGGTACTTATAAAAAAGATATTGGATCAGAAGTTGATAGGAAACTGAAGATGAGGCAGCAGCGTGACTATGACATGACTACAAAAAGGGGAATTCAGTTTTAGTCTGCTTGAACAGAAGCAACATTTCCAAATCATAGGAAGTAATTTTGCATTTTCGGACACATTTGCATTCGGACACACTCAAGGGATGTGAAAACACTCTTCATATACCTGAAAAGATGTCACATAAAAGAACAGGATTTATTCTCTTTCGTTCTAGAGTGGAAGACATGGCATAATGGACTTAAGGTACAAGAATGTAGGTTCTGATTAAATACTTTAAAAAACAGACTTCCTAACAATAAGAGCTTGTTGACAGTGGATCCAATTATCCAGAGAAGAAGTGGATTCCCCTTCACTGGATACATTCAAGCAGAGGCTAGACAGCCATTGGCCAGCAATGCTTTAACTTGGATTTTTGCACTGAGCAGGAAGATATACTTGATGGCCTAACTCACATGATTCTATGAAACACAGAAGCATGATTCTATGATTCTACAATCCCAGAGATATTTTCATGCCTTCTTAGGATATCACTACAGCCCGTAATGGTGCGGAATGAGATGGGACACCTCCCTGCTTTATAAGGCATAAAAAATGCCTTGCATTTTTGAAGAGTTGCCATAAACCTCCTTGCAGCAATGTATCACCCAGAGGTATTAAGAGAAATAGAAGCAACACTTACCTAAATCAGGAACCTGTTCTTCCATCCTGAGTGCCTCCGCTGGGGGACGAAAGGTGGTATGAACATTATTTTGAAAAATAGTGGAATGATCTACATACATGCAAATGCTTACACAAGTCCTATGAACTGAAAATAAATAGGGTTCTGGCAAGCACCAGGGTATGCAGGACTCAAATAAAGGATAACCCTGTTTAAGACAACACGCACTTTTATTAAAGACTGGAAACCACTTATGGACTTTTTGCTGAAAACAAAAAAAAATGGACTGATGATTTATGGATTTGCTGGTTAAACAGGGTTGAATATGGGAAGAAGAGAATTATGATATGATTTTAATGAGGGAGGAGCGAGGATAAGTTTGTATTTGCTGTAAAGAAGATTGGAAGTTGCTTCGTTATGTATCTTTTTTTTTTCTCCATTTGTATTTCTTTTCACTTTTCTTACTTTCTCACTTCACATTTCTTTTCTTTAATCTTACTTTATATTATTTCATGTTTATTGTTTATCTCTGTGAAAATCTTTAATAAAAATTATATAAAGAAAGATAATCCTGTTGATGTAAGGATGGCTACAAGATATCAACAGCCTCTACCACAAAATAGTGTATTGACCTTTCTTAGACCGTCGAGGCTTTGAAGGACGATTTGATGGGCGCTGTGGAGGTGGAGAAAATGCACCATTTCCTGCAGTTAAAACAAAATACCCCAATTAAATTAATAAGCAGTAGAATCAATCAGCAAATTAAAGTAAGAAAACTTTCTTCAACCCAATCTCCTGTGGTTCTTATTAAGCAGCTAGGTTTATTTCTGGATTAGTCTGATATAGACAATGGATTGGGAGATCTATCACTATCCATGACTCTGTCTCAAAAATGATTTTTTTTTTAAAGTTTAGTTGTCCTGAATGAACAGGTTTATTGTTGGGGAACTTGATGAGCCATCAAGGTGCTCAAAGAATGTAAATGCTCCTGGTATCACTAAGTACTCGAAACCTCTCCCCAGATTTTGGAATATTATCTCTTTCAGCTAATTGGCAGAAGCAAATGGTACAAAGTAGATCTCAGTTACAATGAAAGGTTCTGAGCTGGAAAGCCCTACAGTGTCATTTTGGAATCTAAGCAGGATCTGTTATTTTGCTATCTACTTCCACTACGTTGCACTCAGAATTTTCCTCTTCCAACAATCCAAACATTGTCCTGGCATTTTACTGTTCAGGGACATGTATACAGTATTTAATTCATTATGCGGGCACCGCACCTTTGAGACAGAAAACCAACAGGACTCAAGCGAATTAACTATATATCCTTTATTTATTTATTTTTATTTATTTATTTAGTAAACTTGTCCCCACCCATCTTCCCACAATGGGGGACTCTGGGCGGCTTACATCAAATTAAAATCATAAATACATGATTAAAAGTTATTTAAAAAAACCACACTTACAGAGATAAAAAGAGATTAAAAGATCCAAGAGGCCAATAGAGTCCACACCAAGCCGCTAAGGGGCTAGCCAACCCCATTTCTGACATCCTCCTTCCCCGCCCTGGGCCAGATGTGCATGTAAGTGGGCACCTGTAATCCATGAATTATACAAAACCCTTGACTATTCCTGTAGAGTAGTCTACTACTCATGCAGATCCTAGAGAACTCTACCCAGTTCCTCAAAGCCCAACTGTTCAATCATCAGATTGGCATCTCAACAAGCAAGATCCTTGCTAACCCAAGGTTTAATTTATCTTCCAGGACCAATCACAGTGATATGGGTGAAGGGAGAGATTTTGTGAATAGTTATGCATGTGTATCTGAGAGGGTGTGTGTCATAATCTCATTCACTACTACTTCTACTGGAACTTGCATAGCAACCAGCATGACTTCCCATTTGAAAAGGTTCCCAACCCTGGCCTGGCCAAGTTCAAGAAAGTAAATAAATTGAGCAGAGTACCTAGACTTTCCATCAGCATGTCAGTAGGAATCTGGCCTTCTTCTAACAACTGTTTTCTTGCGCTGCCACTGTCCACCTGGACCTCAGACACCATGTTGCATGGTATGAACCCTGTTCTTCCTGCACATTCCCCCCTGTAAAAACCATCTGCATCTTTGTGGCCATAGACCTGTGAAAGGGGGAGGCAGACAATCAACTGCAACAATGCAGAAAGAATATTTGCTTTTTAACTATATAAATGCCCCATTACTTCTTTCATCCCACTGTATATACAAATGCACAGAATAATCCATTCCAATTCCAAACCTCCATCAACCACAAGAAAAGAGATCTTCAGATCATGGTAGGCAGCTCAATGTGGCAGCCAGGAGAAAAGATGAATTCAAAGCTAGAGGTTATTATGGGCTGAAGATGATATGTGAGAATTTTATATAAATCAATAGCATGTTGGGAATTTTGCAGAGCCAGTATGAGGTAGTGATTAGCATTGGACTAAGGCTTAGAAAAGGGGCATCTGGGTTCTACTCAGCTACGTTTCATGAGGTGACCTTGGGAAAATCATACTATTTGGAAAATATAATCATGGAGATAAAACAAGATGTGTGCATCAGCTCTACCTTTCCTCCCTCATCCCCCTGCATGGGCAGGAACATTTTAAGACAGGCTGTATCTCTCTTTGGCTGAATACATTCACAATGCTCCTTTTAAGCAGGGACCTTGCATGGTTCCACAGAGCACAGTAACTGCATTGGAAATATGAAGTGACAGCCTCTTTTCAAACCTTCTGATTCAGCCCAGGAAGGTCCAGCAATCATCTTCATTTCCTCCTGTGATTACATCTGCTGAATACCTTAAGAGGACAATTCTTTCAGTCTCATCTGTTTTGAGGATAAAGCCACAACAGGGTTAAGTGGCCTGTGATATGGGAAATGATAGGAAAGAGAACCATGTACACCTCAAGCTTTTTTGGGGTGTGGGGGGAATGGTAGATGATGAAGATTAATTTTTAACACTGTGTTAACATTGTAACACAATTACACTGTGTTAAGAGATAAATATAGATCG